TGTTCTTTGGGTACTCGACATTAATAAGCCCTGCTTGATGGTATGCGTTGCCAGCTAACTAAGGAAAGACCGAATCTTTCTCCAGTCAAAATATATGTAGCCTGAAAAGTTTGTCCACATACCCCAATAATGTGCCAGAAGAAACTGGACTTGGGCTTTGAAAATAAGTAAGATGACACAGAGCTTAGGAAAGTATTTGAGAGTTCATAGAGAATACATAATGATCTAGAAATTCTATTATCGTCAATAATTTACTAACTGCCCTATGGTGCTCTCGGTATTGTGCTCACCACTGCATCAAATGCAGTGCTTTCCCTTTAAGAAGCTTCTAATCTAAAACATACAAATAACCATATGCAGAAAAAAGCGAGAGATCAGAGTAAAGGAAGCATTCACAAAAATGTACAAATTCAGCGTGCCAGAACTTTTCAGTTGAGCAATATGATCCCTAGTGAAATTCTTTCCAAATGATGTATCGGGTGCACAAGTTATAAGTGATTATCTTCAATTTTCTTAGAAATGAGTAATAAGATACCTCTTAAGACCCATGCTTTTGTACATGCATCAAACACTAAAGTTGGCATGGTCATTGATAGCTGCCATTTAAGGAGAAAAAATATTTTCTGTCTTGTCTCATAGCGGACAAATCCAGGCCTCTTTCTTCCCAGGTTGGTAATAAGCAGCCTTTTTCTAGGCTACAGTGAACACCAAACATTGCGACTCCGAAGATGAAAGTAGCAGAATGCTCAAAAATATTGCATCAAAATATTGGATGCAATCTACCAGCCCACAGGAAAAAAAAAAATTGCAAAACTGACACCATCTGTGTCATCTAGCATCCATCAGAATTATCTCATGCACACATCTCCTAATGCTTACAAACACGGAATTTGCTCCAAGAATTAAGAAAACTTTGTAAGATGGCGGCCCTATTAAGAGCCTTCGCCCTATCTCCCACTTCATCTCTTCAGTTCTTTTCCCTTGCCCAGGCTGGCTATTGTGACCATTTCAGCCAATTTCCTGGAGGTATTTTCTAGCCCTTTTCACCCTGTTTAATCCTACAAGTTTCCTGAGAAGCCTGTTTACGCGTATGCTCCCCCGCTAGAATGCGAGCGGCCTGGACAAAAGGGCTTCCCTCCACGCACAGCTCGGGACCGACCATCAGGGCGCGTGGAAGAAATACACTGACCACATTCGAAAGGATTCTCCCGACTGTTCCCAGTTAGCATACAATAATACGACTTTTTCCAAGTTTTAACGAATCACCTGCTGGCCCGAATGTCTGGTGCGGTCTCGGAAGAGAGAAAACCCTCCCAACGCTTCACTTCTTCTTCTCCCTCTCGACGCTAGGACCACTAACTGCTTCAAACGAATGGGGGAACCACAGCTGGCCACCCAGATACGGCTGCTAGTTCTCACACTTAAAACAACAACAACCAATAGCACACTCTCTCTTTGTTTCGAGAATGCTGATCTTGATTTTTATGTCGTTTCATCTATTTTGAGAAACGCCAAGTCCATCCTGGCTCTTCAGGGTTGCCTTTTACCCATACCGGAGTTTGGCCTTCTGGATTGGTTCCCGCACTTTCCAAGGCCCTCTAAGGCAAGATCCCTCAATCTTTGGGGAGTTGCAACACTACCACGGTTTGTTTGATTTTCTCATTCCGATCCGTCCCCTTCACCACCACCCCCCACAAAAGCGGTGTATGGCATTCATAAAGTGAATTACACTTGATTTTTGTTTAGAGGAAATTTTTTTTCAGACTTCTGTAACATTCCCTTGAGACAATTGGAAACATCATTGTCTGATTACTAGCTCACGTTCCTTGCCTAAAATTGTATCCATTCTTGATTGCGCCTGTGGGTAGGTTAAGCAAAACAAAATAAACATCTAGACTTATGAGCTCATCGGCTTTTTTCTGAATTTTTCTAAATTAAATAAGGGCAAAAGAGCTACACTGAAAGTCAGTTATATGGATTTTTCTGCCAAATGCTAACTCTGTGTGCCTGGTTTCCATCTGTGGTGCTTTCCAAGTTACAAATCCTTAAAAAAGAGAGTGGGGTATGAAAAGATCTATGGATTTGGGGGACATGCTATTTAGAATTGCTATCCCGTGCCTTTGAACGCTCTAAAAGAAATGGGAACATGAGATTGTAAGGCTTTAGATCAGCTTTGTGGAAGTCTGGTGTAGCCCCCTTCAACACCAGTGATTTATTGTTTAGGCTGGCTGATTTCAAACGCCATTTAGTCTCATCCATATTAGCATAAGAAATGTACCTTATCCACTCTAACCCAATTCTGCTAATGGCCGAAGTTAGCAGTCAATCCCAAATGCTCCCCCTAAGTGACACGGGACATTCTCCAGGATTTCTCCTTACTGTGACCAAATCTCATTTTATCTGGGACAAAGAAAGCTTTAATGCAGTTAATACAGTGGAGTGGGAAAACTGAACACGGCTTAAAATATAGATGGGAAAAAAAAAAGTCAAGCGGTCATCTTGATGGTTCATAACTATCAAATAATTTGCAGCTCTCTTTCAATTTCCAACCACTGAATGACAGCAGCAAATTACACATTTATTCACTTTGAAATTATGCACTTGCCATTGTATTTAGTCTGCCATTATCGTCTCTTCTCTGAAATACTGATGAGCTCTTTCCACACATGGACATTAGGATTTTCACCATGTTTTCCACTCTACAGTGACCACACTTGCCCAAGTGAAATCCAGGACACATGGTTTTCGTGCCAAGACAGAGTACTGGCAATCTGCACTGCCCCCAGAAAATCCAGGATACATGGTAGCGGCATGGGTATCGCCGTATTTGAAGTCTGGCCTTACTCCAGCCGGAGTCAAAGCAGTGCCGGCCACGTAGAGCTCACCACTGCACGTGTTTGTTAAATACAAGTGAAGCAGGGAAGCTGGGTTTCTACGAAGACCCTTGGAAAGTGATTTTTTTTTTTTTTTTCCTACAGAGTTCGGGAAATACTGGAGGAAAAGGAAAAATCCCCATTAGGAGTTCCTGTTCTCTGCAGCATGGCCATCCCTAGGCAGGGAGCAAGGGAGCTCAGAGGGAGGAGGCCCAGGCCAAATCTCTTACACACAGTGTGTGGGCCGTCCCAGTACTTGTATACAGATGCTGTGAAGAGGCAGGCAGCCAGAGAGCTGGGGAGGAGGAGGGAGGGCCAGCACCAGCCAGCACGAGTGTGCGTAGAGGGAGGGGGTTGCTCACTGAGTATCAGCGTGTTCCCTCTGGTCTTTTTCTTCTTTTGAGCACAACCTTTACTCCCTGGCTTCAAATCAGCCAAATGTGGCCCCAACCCCAACCCTGGACCCATTCATCTTGTGGGGACTCATCCTGTGAGGACCAATTTTTACATTATCAACAAAAGCGTGTTCTCTGGCCTTAGCAATCTAATTACCACGGCACTTCGAGGGGAGAGACATTCGCCTGTTGTTTCAGCCCTGTGGAACCGATTCGTAGGTTGCCCCTTACGGCTCCTGCACACGCCCACGCGGTACGTTATTAACACCTAACAGTGGAAGAGGCAGTTCTCCCCTCCCATAAAGCGAAATCCTGCCGAGCAATATTTAACGTACGCGCAAATGCATTTCAGTCGCCAAAAGGGGTGACCAATTACCTTTGCAACCAAACAGCAGGCTCGCTTGGCTCTTTTCATCCACCTAAAGAAAAGGCTGAGGGCTGAGGGCGCGCTGGCTGCCTAGGTAACCTCCCGCTAGCGAACGCTCGCTGCTAGCGCCCACAGGGCGCGCATCGCATTCACAACTTGGTCCGACCATCGGACCCGCCTCTCTGACTTGTTGAGAGCCACGAGCCAAGTTTTGACGAGGGCTGCTTCACGATCCCTCCGAAGCGCGGGGCGCGCGCCCCGCCGGATGCACGGGTCGGGAAAGAGACCCCGGAGGCCACAGACGTCGCAGGGTTTGCGACTGCCACCGGCCGTTGCTGCGGAGCGCACCTCCGATAAATTAACCTGTTTGAAACCAACTCTTCTTGCCCGCATTGTCAGTGTAGCAACTTGTCCTAATTGGATTCTAAAGCAGGCTTTTAGGAGTCCAACCGCGGGACAGTCAATCACGCGAGGCCATTAATATTCATCTGTTGACAGCGGCAGCCCTGAGCTAAGGTTAAAATACGCCCTTACAACACGATGTGATTGCGCAGAACAAAAGGCAGGCGTTCGGAAACTTTCCTCCACCTAAAATCATCTCCCCTTCAGGGTCCAGCCTGTCAAGAAGGCAGATGAATTTGAGAAGGGGAGGAGTTAAATCATCTTTGGACTCCTGCTCCCCGGCCAGCAGCACCGTTTCCGAAGCGATTTTGCCAACCTAGATAAGGGACGCTGTTTTGAAGGAAAAGGATCGGTCCTCCTCATCGCGGGGACCCACCTACTCAAAAGTTTCCCCCAGCGTGTCTCTACCTGCCACTGCGGATTCGGAGATCTGTCCTCAACTTTGCCTGCACTTGGGCCCGCGAGCCCCGGGAACCCAGGCTGCGGAAAGGAGGGCGTGGGGGCAGGTTGGGGAGGGAACGGCCGGAGCCGCGGTCCGGCTGAGGCTGAAATGCTGGCACGTTCGTGCGAACGAGGGTGGCAAACGCCCGAGGCACCGGCTCGGCTGTGGGGCGGCAGTTCGCCGAGGCCCAGGGAAGCAGCCCCCCCCCTCCCGCCCTCCCCCCAAAAATGGGCGCTCGCGGGAAGGCCATCCCCGCGGTTCCTCCCACCCGCACCTTCCCCGACAGCAGAGCGAGTCGGGGGGATGCAGACACGATCCCTACTCACCCTTCCGCCCTCCCCCGGTAGACCTGGCCGGGCCGCGGGCGCAGCGACCGCTCCCGAGTGCCCAGCGGCGGGGCGTACGACCGCCGGCCCGCGGGGCCGGCGCGCTCGGGGTACCGCCGCCACTCGCCCCCCACCCCCACCCCCACCCCGGCTCACCGCCGGGCGCGGGGCACGCGCGCGGGGACTCCTCCTCACCTGGCACGGGGGTTTCGGGCACCCACTTGAGTCCGGGCTGCAGTCTCTGGAAGAAGGAGCGGACCTGGTGACAGGTGGCGTCCGGCGGCGGCGGCGGGGGCTGCGCCTGTCCGGGGCAGTCCAAGCCGAGCAGCATCGCCACCACCAAGCACGCGGTGCGCACGGTCCCCGCCATCCTGCTTCGCGGGCAGCGAGGAGAGCGCGGGAGAGTGGCAGCGGGAGCGAGAGCAGTCCCGAGACCCGGCGAGGCTGGCAGCGGCCCTGAGGAGCGGGAGACGTGCCGCTACCCAGCCGCGGCAAAAGTTTCCTCGCAGCTACCTGGGCGCGGGGCGAGGGCGGGAAAGG